GCTCGCCACCGCAGACATGTCAACAGATTGTTCAAACAATACAAGTGCGCGGACCTTTTCACCCTGCGGTTCCCTCACCTTCCTTCTCAACGTGGGAATTGAGTTAACAGCAAACCAATGTCAGAGTGTGTATGTGCGTGCGTGATTCCTTTGAGGGTGGTGAAAGAAATTTGGGATCCAGTCTGATTGATAGATGTTGTAGATCGTATAGTCATGCATAGTCAAATTCCAGTGACACAAGAGACACCTGGAAAGAAAGCCCCACATGTTACTAGTAGCGAGGCCCTTGTTACTAGCTTCTTGCTTCTAGCAAGTAGTATACGGCCAGGCTCTACGTTCGGAGCTTCTTGTGACGACGACTCCCCGTCGTCGACGCCACCTCCGTCCCAGCGGCCCGCCGCCGATCAAGGCCACCGTCTCTCGATCCGTCCAGCCCATCCGTCGGTGGAAGGTGTCGCGCACCTCCAGCGCACTGAGCCTCCGGGGTCCGAGGACCCGGTGGTGCGCGAAAAAGACGGGAGAGGTTGACGACCATAGAAGACGTCAATCATTTTGTAAACAAACGAATCTGATGGACTTCATTTTAGATGCTGATATCGCATTCTTTTGTTGTTTTGATAGAGGTCAGCTCGAAAGAAATAGGGAAGGCAGGACTCCCTGCTGTCTGCGCCGGTTGCCGCCAGAAAAGCCAATCTAGCATAGTGCCCTACGAACTCAAACTGTCCAGCTAAACAACCAGCATTCAACACCTCAACGTCTAGAGGTAGGTCCTGTCTGCCTCACTTTCATTCATCCCACGGTTGCGCTCTGCACCTGGGTGAGCGCTGATGGACTTGCTCTGGCTTGTAGCCTTTGGCTGTTGGGCTCAGCTCAGGACCTTCAGGATAGACATAGATCAAGCCCACCGAGTGGCTCGCCTGAAGCCTGACGGGCGGCTGGCGGAGCAGCTCGGGTCGGGCATCTTGCCATTGTGGACGGACAAATGTCGCCCCGAACCTCTGATGCCTTTGGACAAGTGCTATGGTATAGTTGCTGTAGTTCTTTTTCCAGCTCTGTGAGCTTGGTCGTCGACGGGTTTGAGATTCACGTTAGTTAGTTAGTTAGTTAGTTAGTTAGTTAGGCGCCATCGCAGAC